CTCCCGAGTGCTGGGATTAAAGGCGTGCGCCGCCGCCGCCCGGCCTTAGTTAGGGTTTTATTGCTGTTAGGTTTTTATGTGCCATAACCAGAGCACCTCTTAGAAAGGAAAGCTTTTGATTGGGGCTGGCTTACAGTTCAGAGCTTTAGTCCATTGTCATCATGGTGGGAAGCATGGTGGTACACAGGCAGACGTGGTCCTGGAGAAGGAGCCAAGAGTTCTACATCCGGATTGGCAGGCAGCAGGAAGAGAAAGAGACACTGGCCTGGCTTGAGCACCTGAAACCTCAAAGCCCACCCCCAGTGACACACTTCCTCCAACAAGGCCACACCTCCTAATAGTGCCACTCTACATGAGCCTGCGGGGGCCATCTTCATTCAAACCACCCCACTTGCCTTTGCCTCTCTAATGCTGGGATTATAGTCCTATGTACAGGTTATGTAGTGCTGAGAACTGAAGCCAGGGCCTTGGGCAGGTTGTGCAACATTCCACCAACTAAGCTATTACTACAGCCGCAGCCGTATATGGGCTCTTCTCAGAGCTTAGGTCCAACTCCTCTGTGGCTATAATGAATCCAAACCTGTAGCTTACCTACTTGTCTTTAAAATCTTTTTGAAGGTTTTTATTTTATGTGTTTGTTTTTCCCAAATGTATGTATGTTTACTATGTGCATGCCTGGTGTCTGAAGAGGTCAGAAGAGGGTGTCAGATCCCCAGGAACTGGAGTTACAGATGGTTGTGAGCGGCCATGTGGGTGCTGGGAATCTAACCCAGGTCCTTTGTAAGAGCAGCCAGTACTCTTAACCACTAAAGCATTTCTGAGCCTTGCTTACTGTCCTTTTGATAAATAGAAACTGAAAATTCTAATGAAGTCATATTATTGATGTTTTCTTTTCGTGTCCAGTCTAAGGAACCATAGCCACCACACAAGACAAAAAAGTGAGCGCTAAGCCAGGTGTGGTGGAGCACACCTTTAATCCCAGCACTCGGGAGGCAGAGGCAGAAGGATCTCTGTGAGTTCGAGGCCAATTAATTTGTGAGCAAAGTTAGGTGGAGATCAACTTTCATTTTTTTTCCCCCAAATGGACTTCCAGTTGTTCCCCAAACTCCCATCAAGAAGACATTCTTTTCCTTCATAGACTTTATTCAACACTTTTTTTTTTGAGACAAGGTCTTGCTATGTAGCCCAGGCTAGCCTCCAACCTACAATCCTCTTCCTGCCTCAGCCTCACAAGGGCCAGGATTACCGGCACCATGCCTGGCTTAACTCAGAACTCTTTAGAAGCCCTATCAACTTTACATATCTGTGACTGTGTCTGGACCCTCCATCACATTGCTTGTGTTTCACTGGACTGCACCTGCACCAGTACCACACTGTCTAGATGATATAGCATTATAATTATTTTTATTTTATTACTTTTATGTGTATGGGTATCTTACCTCCATATATGTTTGCGCATGCCTGGTGCCCAGAAAAGGGTGTCAGGCCCCCTGGAACTGGAGTTACAGATAGTTGTGAGCCACCATGTGGGTGCTCGGAATCAAACCTGTGTCCTCTGGAAGGGCAGCCAGTGCTCTTAGATACTGAGCCATCTCTTCAGCCCCTAGAATTAAGTCTTGATCTCACATAGTCCAAATACCCCAGCGGGGTTCATTTTGAATATTATTTAGGCTCTTGGAACTCCCTTGTTCTTGTATATATACATTTCAGATCTTCTCGTCATTTTTCACTGTTTTCAGATAGCCCAGTGAGATTTTGATGGGATTGCGTCCAATCTATGAGCTTAGTGCTCAGTGGATGCCCGTTTTCCGTATTGATCCACGTACTTGCACTGGATTCAGGGATGCATTGTTCTGCACAGGGCCCTCCAGGTAGCCTGTCAAACTCCCTAGCATGTGCAGCAGTTCCTCACACAGTGAGCATTCAGCATCCGCCTCTCGCCTGTCTGGTTATGTCCTGAAGAAGTGAGGGATGGCGGGATGGCTCAGCAGGAAAGGCAATGACCACCAAGCCTGACAGCTGGAGTTCAACCCCCAGGACCCACATGGTGGAAGGAGGGAACAGACTAGAAAGCTGTCCTTGGATCGCTTCATGCATTCACACATGTACGCATGCACACACGCTAAATAAATGCAGTAGAGACAGAGATATAAATGACAGCTGTCCTTTGTTCAGCTGACCCACTGCAAGGTGCGTCTGGGGTTTCCTTGCAGATGTCCTTCCATACTCAAGGTAGTGCTTGAATATGAGTGCCAGCAGGGCTGGCCGTTCGCTGCCTGTCTTAACTCCCAGCTGGTGCTCCTTGCCTGAAGGCTTAGCTGGCTGGAGACAGCTCAGCCATTTCTCTTCTGATTTTCATGAAGGTTACATTGAGGTTGTATGGGACCAGCCCGAGTCTATGAAGAAGGAGAAGAGTTACCCCCAGCGAGGGGATACAGCTTATAAACAATCATGCAAATTCCTTGCAAGGAAAGCTTTTGTAGGTATGTTTAAATGTTTTTATGAATTCTTTTGAGTATTCCACTGTAGGTGGAATTTTCCTCTCCTGACTGCCTGCTCCCAAATAAGCAACACGGAGACTTAATATTAATTATAAATGCTTGGCCAACAACTCAGCCTTGTTACTGACTAGCTCTTACATTTTTTGTTGTTGTTTTTGTTTTTTCCAGACAGGGTTTCTCTGTGTAGCTTTGCGCCTTTTCCTGGAACTCACTTGGTAGCCCAGGCTGGCTTCGAACTCAGAGATCTGCCTGCCTCTGCCTCCTGATTGCTGGGATTAAAGGCCTGCGCCACCACTGCCCGGCTTAGGTCTTACGTTTTTAAGTTAACCCACATTGCTTCTTTACACTCTGCAATGTGGCAGTACCTTTATTAGCATGGCACGTCATCTCCTGTTTCTCCTGCATCTGGCTGGTGACTCCTCTCCACTCTTCTTCCTCCCGGCATTCTCCTAGTCTAGCTCTCCTGCCTAACCTTATCCTGTTCAGCTATTGGCCAGTCAGCTTCTCTATTAAACCAACCACAGCGACAAGTCTTCACAGTGTACCGAAGGGTTATTCCACAGCGTTCCACACATGCTCACAATGCGTTTTGACCATATTCCCCCCGTCCAGCTCCTCTGCCTAGCCTCCCCCAGTTCTACTGTCCACTCTCTCACTTCCTCCCAACTTTGTGGCTGTCCTGGAACTCACTCTGTAGACCAGGCTGGTCTCAAACTCAGAGATCCACCTGCCTCTGCCTCCCAAGCATCTGTGCCACCCCCCCCCTTCATCCTCATCATTCTCTTCTTTATCCACTGAATCCAGTTTTTTCTGCCCATATACTCAGGGTTTGATGCCATCCACTGGAGCATGGTTGATCTACCAGGGGTCATATCCTAAAGAAAATTGGAGTCCCCCTGCCAAGGCCATCAACTGTTAATAGCTCTTCAGCTAGGGTGGGAGCCCATGTGCCACCCTCCCCACGCTGGGATGTTGATTGAATTCATCTTGTGCAGACCACCACAGCTGTTCTGAGTTCACGAGTGCAGTGGTCCTATC